CCCGCGTCAAGCGGTGGTCAAGTACCTCATCAGCATAGGGGAACAATGAGCGGATGATAACGTTATCTGTGGACGGGGTGGAGGCGCCGGAAACATACGCGATATAAGCATCTCGTGATATACGTCAGGCGGAACTTTAAGAAAATCGATATATTCATTATTATCATATTGTATATAGACGCAGTCTACTTCTTACTGCATGTATACAAAGTGAGTTTCGTTTCACCGGGGGAACACATTTCCGTTTTAGTAATCAATTTCTTCAAAGACTTTCTTCTTTCGGACGCAAAAAGACACAACTTATCACATCCCCCGGATTCGAATCCATAACAACGGTTTTCTGAATTAATATCTATTAAGCTACGAAGGTGGTTTAATGATAAATTATCCATGATATAATAAAGGTACAGAATTGAATGAGCATGCCCTTTTCAATAACGAGTAGAAGCGCGGTACGATTTTATTTTACCTGTTATATATTCTGAACTATGTTACGTTCACTATAAAGATTGCAGCAATTACAAAAACCATAGGTTTTTTACCTTGTGAATTCCTTGCAACGTTAAACGTCGACTTCATAAATCATTGATTTTTCTTAAGATATTTCGTAGCGATAATATGCTTATTTATATAGCTTGATATAACAAAAATTCCAAGATAAACCTGCAGATTGCAAGGATGTTATGTATTTTCATTTGATAACATATCTGTCGTGGAAGTCGTAACGAGATTCAATTGTAATTGTGATAACTATTAATTTATATTTTTTACATAGGTATGTTTTTAAAGTTATTCGCGATTCATTTAACACTGATGTGTACACAGAATAACCGTTGCAAATGTCGTGATAAGCTAGCTCAATTTCTTCTTTAAAATTTGTAACCATAACCGGAAGTCTTACATTCTGATGTTTAGAATTACACCTTAATTTATCGAAAGATAAGAGACTTTATACAGTCAGTTAGGACGACTTACAGAAAGAAGTAAGCACATATTATAAAAAAGTCAACTAAATAATTTGGAACCATTTTCCAGAACTAGTAACAACTAGGAGTATAATCATATACATATATATTATACTCCTCTTACTTAGTGTAGACTCTATCCGTGAGTGGTTTAACTAGCTGTAACATTGTCGTATCGACTTGATAATTGTGAGGCACTGCAGAATTTAAATGGAATTTATCATGATCAGAAGTCAGTGAATATAGCTAGTGGGTTATATACACCATATCCAACCTATTTATGAAATTCAAAAGTTAAATACAAATTGTAAAGAGTGGGTAACTGATAAAAATGCTACTGCATTTTTCATATTTACATACAATGACGGTAATAATTTCTATTGGTGGCAACAATAGAAGGCTGGATGATCACGGTTTACAACCATATCCCCATTCCCGCGTTACAGAGGATTTTGGGTTATCCAAGCCTCAAAAAGGTAACAGTACAATCTAGTTAGATAACTTTTTTATTTGAAATAATTTGACGCAGTGCAATAACAAATGTTAGTTTAAGACTATAGAAACATGTTGACCTTACATGTTGTTCTGTAAAGGATAAAGTAGAGTTCTATATTCCAACAGCTGTGTTTCAGTACCACAAAGCCTATTCTTAGGTAGTTGATTTGTTCCGTTGGTAATACCTGAGTTTGTCACTTCAAATAACCATCTAACTGTTATCCTGTATTACATCATCTACAGTAATTGTTGTTTCAGCATGACATAACTCCTATACTAAAGTGGGGTTTTTTAAGAATAACCACAGGATAAAGCTGAAGAATGGATATAGTGGTTAAGAGAGTTGAATGAACATGTAGTTCTCTATAATAATATACTTACTTAGTATGTTTACAAAAATTTGTTGTAAAGAACTGTATTGCAATATATACTCATAAAAGCTTAATAAATATATATATCTAAAACTAACCTTAAAGTAAAGAAGCCAAGTTTATTAAGAGCATTTTTATGCGACACCAAAAAATTAAGTATAAAAATAAACTATACAACCTTTTTGTTTCATTTATGAATAACTTTATTTTGCATTGACTACCACACAGATGCATTTCATACAAGTGAAGAGACTGTGAAGAAGTGTTAACAATTCCTACAACTCAAAGTAAGTGTATGCAGTTCAATTGACACCAGTTCCAATCAAGCCATAATCAACCAATTAACATAAAATCTATGCATCATGATCCAAGACGTGTCTTATCTGAAGCAATTATCATGTCACCGTCGGTAGTTCACCTGTGCTGGTGAAAAAACTCACCCAGCATAAAATACCGTCCGCGAAGGACGCGTGCCTGCGTACGCGCATATTACCTCTCTTTCACACTCAATGCCTTTCGCACAGTAGCCCCTGCAAATCAGGTATTGGCACTGCTTTTATTACTATTAAAACCTGTTAGGTCTTTCCTTCATATTGTATGAATATTGTAATACATACATGGATTTTACAAATGTCTGTTCTTAAAGCAAAATAACAGTAATAAACTTTAAAGCAACAACAAAAAAATGAATATGTCAACCACAATTGCCTACATAACTCTAATGGTATTTAGAATGAAGAATTCTAGACTATTTGTAGAATTTTTTTTTTTAATGGAACAGAAATCAATCTGATTAAATGACAGTGTGTATTTTGTATACCTAATATTGGGCACTAGACAGACATATTACTCTGTCTTGTTGTCTATTTTACTAATTCTTACTATTTTCGGGCAAGTAGGTCATTCCTTAGGCCCCTGACAAGTGACAAATAGATTCTTTAGTTGTTTAGGATTCAAACCCATGATATAATTAATTAATGATAGCGATACAATTTTCCAACATTGTATTAACTTCTATAATTTATTGTTACACATACCAGAAAATAATAATTGTAGTACAATATTATAAGCAAGTGAAGCGACGCTGTTATTGGTTTTACCTTCAAAATAACTTATTGAAACAACAATTTCATGATAGAAAATCCTCCTTTAATAGATCTGAACAACAAGGCAAGTAGGAAAAGACATTATAATCACTTCAAAATCTTGTTAAGTTATTTAAAAACGAAATGGCATTAAACAAACCACATACTATATGAATTATCAACTGAGAATTATGTATAATAGTAAACAGCTTTACTAATTTTCACGCTAATATTACTCTAAAATGGTGGTGTATTATTTAAGGAGATGAGTAATGCTTTCCTTACCAAAACTCTCTGTTAATTTTAGCATAACCCCGCCGATGTGCATGTCGCCCTTCACGACCATTGTGCGTTTTTCATTCATATCAGTCACGTAGATCGTCAGGTTCCATGACCCGTCACCAACTATTTCACCGTCCGCCAACATTTTCACAAATTTGTTTACTTTATTCACAAATAATGTTACTATTAGCACATCGCGTATAAAACGGTTTGTGTTACACGTCTAACCACAAACGCAGACGATAATTGACTGATTTGACAAATCCTTACAGCTGACAGAAACTGGCAACTGTGGTCAGCCGTCATTGCCGTGTAAATTTGACAAGTAACTTTTGATTATTGCTTAATCTGTGATCACACACAAGACTGTGATTACACAGTTACAATCTTGTTACTAAGTTAGCCCAACACGCTATGGTTTCTCGCTTACCAAACGTCATGTTTATTGTCGTATGTGATATTTTATTTATTACAATCGCATTCTATTGGAACACGGTATAGTAACAATAAAACTAGAGCAATATTTAATATTCCTTGATATCTCTCGGCTTTTTATTGTTTTAGTATTTAGATTTACTCCAAGAAATTACTAATTTCTTCTTAGACGGTCGCGGCAATTTAAGAAGTCAGTTGCGGTCTGTTAATTTTTCAAACAGTTTAAAATAAAAAATACAATGATTAACTATATTTCTTGGATTAAATACTATACATTCAAGGTTATTTAGATATTTGTTTAGAGTTTAAAAAATACTAAATTGTGAAGTAATTCATTTTCATAAGGAAATGAACATTTATTTATTAAGAGGTTAAAATAAAATATACTTTCTTCTCTGTAAAATTATTTAGATTCGTCAAAAATTCGTCTGTCTGTTCGTCGTGATTCTACAGAGTGTTCAAAAAAGCAACATGAAGACGAACGAGAAGAACACCAAAGGAACTCAGTCTGGTTTTTTTCAACATCTTACAAACAAATATATATTTTTGTGAATTTCATGACGTAAGGCACCAAGCAATACTTGGACAATAATATTTTATTCTTATGGGCATACAATACATTTAAGAGGCCATAAAAGAGATGCCTGAAAGTTATATTTAGACTTTTAGAGATAAATAAAAAAAAGATCGGTCCGCCTACTTTTAAATATAATAAATACACTAAAAGTGAAAATCGCCATGTTTCACAATATTATAATTTCACAATAAACAAACTGCACAAATTTTTCATAGTTTTTATTATTGTTTAAACAACTAAAGTCACAGATTACACGATAAGTTATACTAATTAATAACATCATTTGATCATTAAAACAAATTAGTTACTAACCCCATAATCGATTACCAACATTAGTAATACCAAATAAATCGATTATGCCGATCATTCATAATCGCCCACCTCTGATCGTAACCGTATGTTCATATGTTGTCAGACGTCAAACTTGACATAGTCTACACTACATGCTGATTAGGATTATAACATATAGTCGAGATTACTATTATTTATTATCAACTCTTTAAGTGTTAAATCTCAAAGTGTTTCATGTCCTAAAGATACTGAATGTTCAAATTACTTGTTTCGTTTGATTATTTAATTATAAATATAATATTTTCCAAACCATTGAAGTCAACATTGCACATCGCATAGTGTTTCTTTATACTACAGACATACTTTACTTTAAAGCTTACTGAAAATTGTTTAGGTCACTTATGAGTATGTAGTTATAAGTAAAACGTTAACATTAAATTAGCTACTTTGTACAAAATTCCCATGTTCTATGAGTAAGAGAAAATTATCAAGTAACAATATGGTTGCCAAAAGTAAACATAAAGGTGAATATTTCTTTATATTTGTTTTGCATTTTGAACTTTAAAATTTAACCGGTTACTCAGCTACGAGTGTTAGAGATTTTTTATTTAATTTAAAATCTATAGTTTAATCTGGTTAAAAAATATAATATAACTATTTTATAATGATTTCAGTATTGGCATGTTCAACACCAGAGCATAGATTGGAGTCTCCATCACGGGATAGTGACTCAGTATGTGATTCGGATGCTGGAAGTCCAGTTCCATTCCTTTGCACCCAAGATGGTGCTGAAGGAGAAACTGATGTTGTATGGAACTTTTACACTCCAAAATCAGAGAGAGCCACAACTCGCACAAAAAACACAACCCCAGTTAGTCGCAAATCTAGAAGAATTCGGCCAAAACTAATTGCAAAATCATTGCCTAAAAGGAAAACAGTCAAACCATCACAAAAGCGTACAGAATTGTTTCAAGATCTCGTAGAACTAAATCAAAACATACATGAACTCATAGGAAAGAAAGCTAAAAGCAAAGAAATTGAAAAACCACAGTCATGTAGTGAAGAAGACATATTTAGTGATACCAGTGAAAGTTCCCCCAAGAACAGTCTACGTACTAGTCAGTGCTTAAGAAAAAATGTATTGAGTTCTAAATTCAAAAAGCCAGAACCAGAAAACTGTTTAGAATCTGATGATTCTATGAATGAATGTCTTTTAAAAGCCAGCCAAGCAGTTGAAGAAAATATAATTGGTTATGAACATTCTGCACCAAAAAGGCTATGTCTAGAAACACCAAAAGTTAAGAATTCAAAGTTAAAATCAAAACATATTACAATCAATGAAGATTCTATGGATGCAATTTTCAATAACATCAAATTGGATTCACCATTTATAAAGAAAACAAAGTATAATTCACCAAAACTAAACAATGACTCATTTGATAATTTTCTAGGTGATTTAAATGACAGTACATTAGAACGATTGTCTCAAATGCCTCTTAAGGATACAAGGAAAAAAGATTCAAATTGGGTCTTAGATGAAGTTGTATTACATGGAAACAGTCCAGTAGTCTTTGGGAGGCACAATTCTATGCCAGAATCACCATCACTAAATGATACAAACAAACCCTCTACGAGCGGTATGGCTTTTAGTAGATACAGTTCAATGCCGTTTAATAAGAGTGCTGAAAAAGTTACACGTAAGTATAAATTATATGCTCTTTGGCTTTGATGAAAAAAAATTAAAAAAATGAAACTCAATGAATTCAAAGTAAAGTAGCATAATCATGAAAATTTAAAATTTAGTTTTTCAATTAACTTAAAGTAGCTAGTATAAAACCTGTATGTAAAGATTTACCTTATTTCCAAGATTTACAATGTGTAAACCCATACATAGTAAATAAGTTGATTAAGTAAAAACATATCTTCAGTTCTAGATGACTCTCCAATAAGATGTACTCCTGATGAAATTAAGAAAAAACACCAACAAGCTCGGGAGAAACTACTAGCCAAGAGACTTTTACCGTTTACAGCATCACAACAACCACTATCTACTCAAACCCAGCCACCCATAGAGAATAAACCAACTAAAAAATCTATATTTCAACCTCGTGTAGCCAGTGCTTCTAACAAAAATATTTTAAAGCCTCCTCCCAGTAAAACTTCTTCAGAGAAAGGAAACTATGAGACTGACATTAAATTTATAATTGAACAGAAGAGGCAAGAAGCTCTAATGAAGTTGAGAAAGAGACAACCGAAATAAGTGTGCAAAGCCCGGTTTTTTATTATATTGAATAATCAAGCAGTGTGATATTGATTGTTATATTATATAGACAAAGTGAATGGCTTAGTGTATTATTTTCTTGACATCATAAAAAAAAATACTAATGTAGACTTAACAAAAATCAAGATTCCTATTCAAAAAAAGGAAATAAACACAGTACACGCCTATATATAATATTCTTTATAAGGAAAATTGTAACAATACATTAACATAGTGTAGTAACATCTAAACAAAAAAAAAATGCTTAAGTAAATAAAAATAAAAGTTTAAGAACAACATTTATTTGGGGTAAATGTACTAATGTTTTATTTCTTAAGTTATTTTCCAAAGCTTATCTTAAAAACTTAACATACTTGTATTCAATTGAGTTTTGTGTTCTTCAACTACCTTTCTTTTCTTGTAATTCGTTTATGCCTAATAGCATCATTTTAATATGTGCCTTTATTTCAGCTGCTTTTTGTATTAATTGTTGGGAGTGTTGTTCGAACACCTTGATTCTGGCATCAAGATATTTATTTGCTTCTTCCAAACTAAACTCCAGGTAATGGTCTAGTCCAATGTTAATTAGCATTTGGGATGTATCAGAGACTGATGCTTCCATGAAGAAATTACACCCTATATTCACTTGAGTTTTAAATCCATCTGGGTGAACACTTTTATCTGTTACTACTCTCAAAGCATGCTTTTGCTGAATAAGGTCAGCCAACTCGGCGTTTATTTTCTCTAATTTTAAATGTAGTACACGTAAATCCTCTTTTAGCACATCATTTATAAAGTTTTCGTACTTTGTTATAGTTTGTTCCATATTGATATTTGCCATTAATACAAAATCGTCATTTTGTAAATTTTGATAATTTACAAACAAAGCATCCAAGACCCACTAATGATAGGACTAAATACTACGTATTTATTTTTACGAATTAGTAATATTTTATTTACTTAATCCTTATACCTTAAAATATTAAGTTAACCTATAAAAATAAACAAAAATATAACGATATAAGTTAGCTACCAATGTCAGTACTCGTTCATACAATTCCAGCCTGTCAACTGTCATCTCTTAAACATGACAGCAACTCAGAATTAAAATGTCAATGCATTGATTTACTATAGGTAAAGTAAAGGAGCACAGAGTATTATAAGTGTGACTTATTTATCTTATAATAGCAGAATCGATAAGTTGATATTATATTAAATAGTATTTATTTTTTAAGAATGTTTTGATTCGATAGAGTTTGCAAGAATTTTCACTGAGTATCATAATTACGAATATCATGCTACTTTTATCAGGCTTGTTCGAGTCTTTTTGTCCTTAAATGTATTTGTTTCCACTCTCAAGAAGTTTTTTTAACATCAACAATTAAATTTTTATGATTTCTGAACTCAATAACTCTATTAATCTGTAATCAAGTAATAATAAATAGAGGTGATAGGGTTTTTAATGACTAATGACTTCTTGTTTAAAACTCCCACTTAACCAGACATTAAGAATGATAATTATGAAATATTAAAAGACATTGAACGATCACCAAAATGTTTATTTCAGAATTATTACTATAAAACATTACTTACGAAATTGAAAACCTAACGAAACGCCCATTTACAACAAAACAAGTTTTAAAAAAAGTTTCGCAAAACTCCACATACTTTGTGAGATAAAATAACATTACCTAAACCTAAAGGCTATAGCACAAATATTATAGGTTTGTATATATACATAGTAGGTACCCATGATAACGAAATAAGGTACACGATACAACTATAAATAAGTATATTTACAACATTATAGAATAGTATAATTGCCATCATAATATCTGCATCAATTGTAGCAAATTATTAAACGGTACTTAAAACTAATTAAGTTAAGAATATCACTTATCGGTTGACAAATGACCCAATAAACCTTAAAGTTTATGAAACGAAAGGTTTTAAATTTTTATTCTACGCTGTATCTATGTTATATATATTGAAGAGATTGTAAAGCCTCTCTACACTTGTTTTTTTTTTTAATATTTAATGGCCTGGTACGAGACCTTTAAGCCAACTTTATACTTGAAATAACATCACAGAGACAGAATCACATCATGTAATAGCTACCTCTATTATAGACCTTTCTGTCGTCTGCACTTAAATTCTAATACCTAACCATAACAAGGTTAACTCATGTAAAACGAATTATTGAAAGACATTTCCATTATCTTAAAAACGAATAATGTTGTAATATAACATTTTGGTAATACGAAGTTTCAAATGGAAGGATAGTGTTCTTCTAATTCAAAAGTCTTATATGTAATAAGAATTGCCAACAATTGTAAGGCAATAAGCTATTAAAATGTGATGCTCTGATGTTCTTAATTTCTATACGCATGGTATTTACATGTCGATTGTGTGCCTAGCCTACCCACAGTGGGTTTTAAGCTTTTAAAACTTTGGTTTAACTATAATCTATAATAATAATGCGCAATGGACCAAATAGAAGTTATGACTAAGGACTATACGGGGTGGACGAAAAAGTTTGCTATTTGCAACTGCATATATGCACCCTAATGAAGTCTTGTGTAGCTAAGAAGTTTGAAGTTAAAACAGTGTTAATTACACTTATAATTATAATTCTAGGCTTGTTACTTGGGCATTCTCTTATTCGGTTGTTGTATTAGTAATTGGTTCTCGATGTTACTTCATCTCGATGGAGATCATTAGATGGTTAGCGTTCCTATACCAAGCTAGAACATGAGTCGAGAACCATTCAATTGTTGAAATTACGCTCGAACGACTAGATAAACGCTAGTATTTTTGCGTAGAGAATGAGTGACGTTAAAACTCGATTATAATTGGGTCATTAAATATAAATAAATTATAATATTATGAATGAATGCTGTTCAAATATTATTATTTTTAATTATGTATGTCGAGAAGACAAAAACGTCACTAAATTAGAATAGAATGCATACATGCATTTGCGTTTCTTATGCATGCTAATTAAGAATCGCGTGATATTGACGCGATGATCACGAATAAGATGGCTTACTTTAGTTAATAGTTACAAACTCTTATAATTATTAGGATTCATGCTTAAGTAATTATTAAGTAAAAATTACATGAAATTAGTAATTAAAAACTACCATCAGTTCGTTTTTTTTTAATTGCCATATCAATTTGCAAAATATTTTTTATGGTTTCTATTACATGAAAGAGGATTTATTTATATAATAGTTATTTTGTTGTTTTATATTCAATATGTATACTCTGTGCAAGTAAGGCCGTACGGGCCCAATCAAAGTGCTCAAATAAAAATCGGTACAATTCAGTACACACAGTAAATTTTCATTAATATTAGACAAACATTAAAATTCTAATGATGAATGCTTTATTGTAATATAATACCTACATTAGTTAAAGTCTAAAAATAGGTACACAATTATTTTACGACAGAAATATTGTGAAATAGGACGATTACGTAAATAGATTTGGCTCGTTTATAAAAAATGGACGAATGATAAACAATAACAATGTAATGTAACTACGTACAACGGTATTACAATACCTTTTTTTTTTAATTTTTCGTTAAAAATATTCTTATAGTCGGAAGATAAATAGATAAATATCTCTCCTTACAGGTCAAAGACAAATTCACATCATGAATTCGAGCTGGCTTAGCAGCAAAAATAGCTCTTTTGTACAACCGCTGGAAATTTTAATGATATTTATGTAATAAATATATGTAACTCCTTAATAAAAATTAAAAAATAAGCTTATGAATTATTTATTTTCCAACTATAAGCTGAATATATAAAAATAAGCCTTTAGGTATGGTTTAATTTAAAAATAATAACTTTATCACTGGCCGTGTGATGTTAACGTATACATGACTAGTTTTATGTAAAATTTGGAAAAAAACATTTAGACAATTGTTCTAAAATTTTGAGATCATCCAAAATAACAAAGTATGTTCATGACGGATAGGTATTGAGACGGCGAACGTGGTTGGATGGACTAAATCGGCGTTGATCATTTTATTCCTTACACAAATCCATACAACATTAAATGTTGCACGACACTAAAAATATAATTTTATACAATTTACCCTAAATGTATAAAAACTAATCCTATAACGACTTTTTTTTACAGAAAACTCTTTGTATGGTCTCTAGAAAAATCGGACATGTGAAATTAAAAAAAAGAATCTTGCTTGGCGTTGTTCTTTTTCAATTGAGCTTTGAGCAGTTATTTCATTAAAAGTTATTACAGACAAAAATATATATCGTAGATATTATTAAGATATGGCGAATTAACTCCTTCGGACCATACAAAACAGAACAACGTATTGAAATCAATTGATTAACATTAAAATCCAATTAAAATTAAATCACAGATAAATACCGCCTCTTTTTCAAAAAAAACATATTTGAATAATGTTGGTTGGATTAAATTAGGTACGCCGCGTGTTTTATTATTCTATGTTTAGGTGAAAATATCGTTGACTTTAGGTGACGAAATAGTTACCTGACGAATTAAAGTCAAGTATCAATTATTTTTCTAGTATTTACCAAAATTCATAATTTTGTGATTTATATTTCTATACTGTGAGTTATCAAAAGACATTCATACCCAGTAGCGCAGCTAAGTGGACAAGGGCCCTACGTAATCCTAAGGCTCAAGAAAGAATCCACTCTTTTAGCATAGCTTGAATTAAGTGAGCCCCCAGAATTATAAATAGCAATAAGAACGTTAAAAATCCTTTTCTTCTACGCTTATATTTCCTCAAAGATAAGTTTAGAGGGCCCCTAAGGTCCTGGGCCCTGGTGCGCTGCACCACATGACCCTACGTTAGCTACGCCACTGTTCTTACCTTGTAATTTATAGAAATCGAATATACGCCCATAATGATTCGAGGAATACTAAATTGCCAGGTGAGATACAATGAAGGACAATTTCATATTAAAATAAATACTACAAATGTCTATTAACAAATTATTATTGTATATACGCGATTTGTCTTAAAAGCCCAATATAATCATGTATCAAAATAACTCACAATAGGTTACGTAAAGTCCACGTTATTTCCAAACGGATCCAATCACAATAGTTTCCAAGGATAGGCCTGGTATTTGTCTTGGGCGGTTCCGATGACGCCCCGCCTGGCACGTGCGTGCACCCTCAACCCTACTGTAGGGCGGCTCGGTATATAGTAATCGCCACAAAATATTAATAATAAAGAGGAGAGAAACGGTATTGGAGGTTGCTATTTACCACATAGCTTATCGTAACATTTAGGGTCATGTGTCAGTTTTCTTTTTTTTTCAAAAAGTTATATTTTTTATTACTATCTTATTATTATGGTCTGTAATGTCCATGTACATTGATGATTTTTCTTAATTAACTTTGTTTTAATTAAATATTTTATAAATACATTCTGAGGCTGATAAAGTAAAACTAAACATTCACAATAAATGTCAGTGATTGTAAATGTCAATTGTCAATTAGAAAAATAGCAGTTTTTAATTTCCCGCTAAAATCCGAGTGCAAAGAGATAAATTTAACGTACATTTTCGTTATTTAATTTCAACAAACTATAATTTTTTCTTGCCACTCTGATGTTTAGTTAAATTCCTTCTAATTAAAAACTTAGTAACTCATCAGTTGAACAGAAATAGGTTTTTTGTATATGTGAGTATAAGCTAATAAAACCTTGAATGTTACGACTAGCTATTCGTTACATTCAAGCTACCTCCAACACCTAAGCCTCATAGTAAAAATTAAAAGCAAGAGCGGTTTCAACAAGCTATTAATTTTATAATCACATTGCAACATGACCCAACACTTTACCCCTATTGTTAGCATACAGGTGTAGGTATATTCTTTACATAGTGCTGCCATATGAAACATTACCTAGGTACTTTTAATCAACTCTTGCCTTTAATAATTATTAGTATTGACATGTCTCCCCAAATCAAGGTATACAACCTCCTTACAATTAAATTAAGGTACACATCGTGTCACTGACACAGATTATAATTATATACAAGTTTTTACAGATCTAACGCTATGGTATGGTAATGGGATGGCCTAGGATGGGAGCAGCTTAGTCGCCTGTGACCTCCGCTGAAGCTGTCGATGGAGGTTCGGTGGGGTCCAGCACCGCCTGAAATCAAATTATATTTTCTTAGACCACTGAAATGAAACTTTGTAACTATTATTAAAAACCAGATTAAGGATTGACTGTGGTCTATAGTTTACGAGAGTAGTACACATTTAAACTATAACTTTTAACGGTTTACATGTAATATTATTTAATTGTTCGCTTGGTCATGGTTGAAAGAAACAAATAATTTAACTACTGCATTTCGCGTGTTAAACAGTTGAAGTGCTTTGTTTAAAGAAACTTTTTTTTTTAATCTTGAAAAGACAAGTAAATGTTTGAATTGTGTTTTAAAATATTTTTGAATAATAATGAACTCGAGACAATTTTTTAATATTCCCTCCGCATCTTTGCGTACACTGACATGTCGGCACGTCAAATATACATACACATAGTGGACTTTTTAATATTATAAAAGTATGATATGAAAAATAGGTTATTAAATTTGTCAATTCTTTTCACGCTTTCATAAATTATAGAGTTATGAAACAATTTCATAACTCTATAATTTATAAAAGCATTAAAAACTTCACACACGGCTCTCAGCCCTTTTTATATTATCTATGTTAAACCTTGCGTCATTAACTTAATAGGTATGTGTCTACCACAGACTAGAAATTACTTTTTAATTGCTTCAATAAATGAAGTATAATTATAAATAAGAAACTATTAATTATGCCTTTTATACAAGTTATGTAAGTCATTCATATTCGAGTGAACAATAATTCAACATATTATGTTAATCTAATGGATACGTTTTGCGGTAATGAGATATTTTGTGTAAATTCTTGTTTATAAGTGTTGAGTAGACCCTTTGACGAATTAATTATTGTCGACTATATTTAGTCTTGAATTAAAGAAGTTAAAGTCCTAACTACTTAACAGCTAATACTCTTAAGAGTTTTGCTTGATATTCATGAATCTATAATACATAAAAGATACATACTGTCCGACAATTTTTTAGATTACTTAGAGATGTATATGTATATTTGTTTAATACATAATGATTTTTGGGTTTAAACCCGTATAAAGTGCTTTATTTAAAAGCTAAAATAAGGTATGAATTTCTATTTTTTTATTTATTCGTATTTTAGCGTAATTTTATGCAAATATTATAATTAAATTTAAAAGCACCGTATAGTAGTGGCAATAACGACGATTGTGTTTTTGTCATAACATCAACCCCAGTACGTAATTTGCCTTAAAAGGAGTGTTTAATGAGTGATTGTATATTTTAAAAAGGTTACAATTTAAATAATACATCAGTTTTTTAACGAACCCGTCTTTTCCTAATTCTCCAATACCATTGTTTTCTGTTGTCTATAGAAACGAACTTTTTTAGACATTTGAGATTGTTTAAACTGTTTGAAAAATGCTTGCGGGCTCAAATCAAACCTTTGCTTTACCAATTGAGTTTTCAGTTGTTAAATAGTGCCTGTAATTTAGTAACTACATATAAGTACGCAAACTTCTTTTGGTTTTTACTCAAATATTCCACGTTTTAAACCGTTCAATTTTTTTTTAATTTCAGTGTTTACTTCTCGCGAAAACTACAGATAGTAAGCAAAGTATAAATAACTAATAAATTATATCGCTGACGTTTAAAAGTTAGTTTCGCAACGTTTTTTCGCAGCAAATTGTGAAAATTAAAGTTTTATGGTTATAAGGAATATGATTTAGAACCGCAAAGCCATTGGGATTATTCGAAAATCCCATAAAAAGTGACATCAGAAGAATTTACGATTGCCTTTGTGTACAGACGTCGAGTGGGAAAGTTTTTAACGTCCGCACTTTACGAGTTACCGCGAATTACTGGAGTCAATGAAACGGGACCTATTTCATATCGAGACATAAATCTAGATTTTAGAGACCTAATTTAAATATTGCGCGAGAGGTTCATGTATCAATTGGTAGAAAAAAATCGACAATCAAGTGAGCAACTCTGTGGATGTCGGTTCAAGTCTTGCCAGTGTCGTGATTTTTTTTTAAATCTAAAGTCCATTTTAATTCATACTATAAGTAGTTCCTGCTCTTTGAACTATCATTAAAATCTTATTGTGGAGAAAATCTAGCACGAAATTAGGCAATCGAAATGGCAAAATGTGATAATCATTATTTTTTATATTTCAGAAGAATATATTCTTAACATTTCATAACTTTAGGTTGCCTGGAAGAGATCGCTTGTTACCGATTAGGTCGCCCATTGCTCTCCATTCTAGTATATAAGTTTAATTTGTAATATTATTATGTTTTGTGCAATAAATTTAAAAAAAAAAGGTTGGACACGGTGGGGATCGCACCCACGACCCGTTCTTAGTATTAGACATAAATTGCTACCATAACAACAACAATCCCCGTCAAAATAATGTATGATTCACACTCCATGTTTAAAGATTAGAAGAATATATATCCGACATAGCTTTGTTTAAGTATGGGAGAGATGTTATAACAGTTCTGTTTCCACAATTTTCAACGATTGTCCTATTAGTAATTATAGACGATGTTTCTCAAATAATCGACAACTCGTGTTTAATAATATCTCGGCAATAATTTACATTAACTGCAAACGTTTTGAGATATATTGTAAACATGAGAATGTTACTAAATGTTGGAGTTATTACTTGCGACATGTGGCGATTGGCAATTGTTTTACGGTTTTCGAATTATTCTTTATAGCAAAACAAAACAATAGGTTATGTTAACTGTTGTCTGTAATTTATTTGAGTAGTTAAGTGTTTTATTCAAATGTAAATAAAATACTTTTAACGGTTTAAGACGTGAAATTTATTAGTTAAAGCATGTCCCTAATATTAAAGTGAAAACTGCTACGCTAGCGCCATCTGTTGCGTCGAAATGGGATGTTTCGAGCGTTACAGCGTTCAGTTTAAAGTAGGTTATTTTGGTAACATAATAGTTTAAATGTGTACTTTTCTACGCAAACTACATACAATACTTACCCAACCTTACGCGCACGGAACATAAAAATGATAAGAATGTAAAATTAATTAATAAAAATAATAAATAAATGATGTAAAGTATTTCACGAGTCAAAACTATATTTAGTTTATATTTTAAGATCAAGTTCGAGGCCGTTATAGTCGATTTTAAGCTAAAATTGGCGTTTTAGAATGTATGGAGGCTTAAGAATGTCAAGTGGTTCTTGGGTGGCCCAGATTAGACTTGAAAGTTCATTGGTTAATATAACATTAATAAGGGTACCTGGTTCTTGTAAGACCAGGTACTGTAATTTTACATTTTCACAAACGGGCCTCAGTTGACGGCTCGTTGGTCTAGCAATATATGGCTTATAATAAACGTAGATTCGATCCCAACATGTTTCTTACCAATTTATAATTTTTCTGAAACATTTCGGAAATCTGGATATTAAATGGGTGGTAGGAATATCGAAATTTCGTCCACAGATGAAGAAGCCGTGAAATTTAATTTCGTTTCAGTTACAGTCTGTAGATTTCCAAATATCCAAAGCCAAATTAGGTCGACAGTGCATCCTATTGAGATGTAACATGCGTGCTATGTACTCCACCTTGTAGTTAAAAAAAACACGAAAAAAAAGATTGAATTGATTTATAATTCGGACACCAAAATATTCCATCACACCGTCGGTTATAACCAAAATTTTGTTTCGTGGAATCTCAAGCGATCGTTCTGTGAATCGCAGGCGCCGTCCAAAATCATGTTTGTAAGATAATATACGAATCCACGGTGTTCCAGTTCACTAACTTGACAAGACTTTTTTGGTTTGTATCAAATAACAGACCAATATTAGCGCTAGCGAATTACCTGCTTCTTAATCCTGTGATTTGAGGTTCTGATAGGTTTATTGGATTGTAATTGGATGCGAATATAACACGGTTTCAACGAGGTTTGTTTTATCAATAATTATATGACGTCATGTCACAATATTCATAAATATAAACAAGAAACTTTGTACCGGCTCAACACTACCACAAATCGCATATAGGCGGTTCGTTCCTGGTTAGGTCAATTTGATATTGTAACAAAATGTACACATACACATTACACAACTTCGACGTAGAAGTTAAAAATTCCATAACAAAGTTTGAAAGAAATTTGTGTTTGTTTGAATGCGCTAATGTAAGTAACTACTGGATCGAAATGAAATATTATTTTTATGTTGGATAGATCATTTATCCAGGGAGGCTTTAAGCTGCAACCAATAGCAACGAAGCATTGGATAAAAAAATACCCAAAACGGAGGAATTTATTTATATGCGGGCTTCCGTTGCGTGCACTGCGTTAACGGTTCAAATTACCTAAAAATATATTGGAAACAATTTTTCTTTAAATAAACTATGAGATACGTGTATTAGTGTATCTTTAATGATTGAGCTTCTATAACCTTCTTTATATTGCCTATCTTAGTTGAAATTGATACATATTTGTCAAAGTTTTCTATCAACGTGATGTTGATAGAAATCCCCCATGACCACGCCCTCTAAAAAGCTTCCGAAACGTCTGGCCGTAGTTAAAATAAAATAACCAATAGGTATTCAGAAATCCACAGACTGTAACCGAAAGTCGATTAAACTTGACGGCTTTTTCGTCTGTGGACGGTGGCTAATATCCAGATTTCCAGACGAAGTCAAACAATTTTCTAACAATTATAAATTGAATAGACACAAGTTGGACCTGGTGGGAGTCGAACCCACTAACCCATTATACCAACGAGCTCCTCAAATTACTTCATTACTCTTCGCTTCAAGGTTCAGTGTTATTTTAAGATAAGCGGACTTAGAGATCAGTCGAAACAACTCGTCCTCAATATAAATTACGATTTCGCATAATTCAGGTTTAAAATTTAATCAAGCGTCGCTATATTGGTCCATATCTAGTTTTAATCACGGAGCGTAGAAGCGAGTTATGCGCAGTCTCGTAAAATGCGATCGTAAACGCCGCATCCACTTACTTTTATTGCTTACTACTTCCATGTGAAAACGTACGGAATCAGCTTTATTATAACT